TAATGATATAATACATACATTTACACATATATAGTGTAATGCTTTGGCTTGTACTGTGAAGGCTAAGCCTTTCAAACCACTCATTGTTCATATCTTGGCAAAAATGAATGGAACAGTACACTTCATGAGTCAAGGTATGCAATCACTGAAAGTGAATGATGCTTCACTACAACGGAACTGCCATCTGGTAAAGGCTTCAAAGAAGCTTGAGGTGGTTTATTCCTTTTAAGGAGCAACAAGGAATCCCGCTGGTAACAATGCTTTAATTATGTATTCCAATGATCCAGGGATCCCAACACTCCTGCTTTTGCTGGGACAGTCCTGAATTTGAAGACTTCTTCCACTCCCCCAATTTAGTTCCCTGGGGGACACCAGGGTATTGTCATGAGGCAGTACAGAGCAAGCACATCAGAGGTCTCTAAAATCATGTAGAAGATGGTTCTGGGGCACTCCCTGTGTAGTCCAGCAAGTAGGGGCCCAGCTGGAAAGCTGACCTGTCAGACTCACGTGCTTGACTGCTTGACACCAGACTGACACGCTTTCAGTGTACAGGCACATCCACTTCCCACTGTGCATGTTACCAGTGGCCCAACCAGCAGTCACCCAGATTACAATGTTGAGAGATATTGTGATCTGCAAGTGTGACACAGTTACACATGCAATGAAGGAAAACGTTGAGGCACTTTTTTAAATGTGTGTCATGGTAATTCTCCATAGCTTATGGTATATTTTAACACACTTTGAAATATTTTTAAAGATTCAATATAGCCAATGTCTCTGTATCTAGTGACATCATACAATTTAAGACACTCCTGTGTTATGTGGCTTTGTTGTGTGCTCACTTTACATTGCAGTTCTGGGCATGTGTGACACAATGCTACTACAGAAAATGGGTCAGTCAGATCCTCCTGGCAGAACTGTCCTGGCAAAATCTGAAATCCAAACAGATGTCAGATATCTTTAATTCAACAGCTTCCTTGTACCAGCCAGTACATGTGTAAATTATTTTTTGTTTTGTGTGAATTATTTTACAGCTTCGCAAATAGTGGTCTCAAAGCAATGCTGAATGCAAGCTGAGATTACAGACCTTGCTGGATTCTGAATCACATTTACAGCTTGGTATCTTGCTAATAACACCATACCAGAGTATTCAAAGACTGGTTGTTGTGGCAACCTGATACTGAATTCATAAAACACAATAAGAATAGTTTTTTCACTCAAGGCAGCCATTCATTAAGATGCTATGCAGCCGCCACAGGTTTATCCTGAATGTGCTACAGCAAGATTTTGTGGACACAGGATATGTGCCCTCATTTCTTTCTTGTGTTAAAATAGTAACATACAACTTATGAAATGATTACAGAACAAATATAATGCTTTCATCATGGTTCTGTCTATTCAAAAATTAAACACGTTATCTATTATGGCAGAAGAAATAAGGCCTATTTAATCTGTATTCTTTTACATTAAAATGTTTGCTAATTAGCTTTTTATGGATAGCCATATGTTTATCAAGCATTTGCACATTTTAGCCCGTTTACCAAAACTAGACTCTTTCATCTAGGCCTTTCATTAGGTTTCATCTAGGTGTTTTTTGGGGAGAAGGGTTGTTGTGGGGAGGTGGAGTGGAGGGGAAGGAGAGAGTTTACCAGGACTCTGTTAAATTGTTTCTCCTACTCTCTCAATTACCTTTACATTATATTAGCAGAGCTAGGATCATGACAGATATTTATCCAGATATATGTATTTTGACCTGGTTTTGCCCTTAAAGAGCACTTCTCCAAATTCAGTATCACCCTCTTCTACCCTGAAAAGAGGGGTTACAAGAAGGTTTCTAAAAAAGGTGTGTATTGCATATTACTTTCTAAAAAAAGCAATGGCAGTCTAGTCTGTGCATCAAACATCTTTAAAACTATGCTTTCGATGCCTGCCCTTACTGTTTCTATTAAATCAGCATAACAACATGGCTTCTTGTCCTGTCCATGACCTTTCAGGTACTATCTTGGACAATTGCATAACTATCCACTATTTTCTAGCAACCTGTGACTACTGGCTTTCCTTTTATATCATTCTGCGCGATGGGATGGAGGAGAAATGGCCCAGGTGTCTATAAGCTCAGAAGGTGCCCAATATCCCTGAGACAGTGCTGTGAACAACATACTACTAAGTACTAAAGGACCAGGAAATGCCCAGTGTCCTGTTCTGAACTGTCTAAACATAACCTCCACAGAACTCGTGTATACTAGGATGCTCATCAATCTGGCCACTATAACTTCTAAAGACTTTCCCCTTCCATTTCCTAACTCACATTCTGAACAATCAAAACACTATAACATGTAATAGCTAAATAGTTGAGCCTACTGTGTGATAAGATTATTTCTGTTCACAAACGCTCTTTTAAAAGAAATAGAAAACTCTGGAAAGCGTGAAATGTGGCAGAGCAAAGATGGAAGCTACTGTTTTATTTAAAAGATATGATTGTCTAATGTATATTCCTTGTGTATTATGTATGTATGTATGTATATGTATATATATATATATATATATATATATATATATACACATATATATATATATACACAGTTTCCCGCTAATACATCATTTAAATGCTAAAATGCCAGCTTACTTTTCAGCTAATACAGTTTACAGCATGTTCAGTAGAGTGATTCCATATTTAGAACAGAACGTTTTTGTGGTATTCAATGGCCCATTGGATGCCAAACCACAGCTCTTAGGTGACCATCAGGATAATGTTTGGGAAGCTAAAAAAATCAATAATATTGGTAGTGCTTTACATTACAGGAATATTTGTCTTCTGAATGTCAAAATAACCCACAAAGGTAGAAGGAAGCATGTTCTAGTCAGAGGTCACCATATCATAAAGTCCAGGAAGAGGACAAAGTAGCTTTGTTTGTTTTAAGAAAAACAAAAAAATTTAAATAAAGCTCAAATTCAGTGGCTATACCTGTGTATTTCATAGAACGCTGTCAGATACAGGATGTAAAGGAATAAAACAGAGAGGTGCAGTGTCTTATAGTTGGAATAATGTCCCTTTAAAAACCAAATAGTAAAGAATTGGGCTTTATACATTCCAAACAATATGCATTTATGCAGAACATCACTTGGCATAGAGATAGTTAATTCATGTTCCTGTAAAACCAATGAGTTTATCATAAAGCAGGGATACATGCCTATATTTTTCTGCTATCCCACATGGGGTCCAAACAAATACGCAGTCCTAACTCACGTGCATGTGGCATGTCCATTTCAACTTTTTTTTACACGGAATATCTATGATTGACATTTAATATTAAATTTTTTAAAAGTGTGACTTTTTGAAAACACTGTGTGAATTCAAAGTGCATTTCAGATTTTAGAGCAAAATATCAAAAGTGGAAAACTTCTCCAGGTTCACCATGCTTTCAGTTTGACTATTTTGGCATAAAATTTGCAATTCGGTTTGAAATCCCAACAATTCATCCTCTAGTATAAGGGTGGGGAAACTTCAAGATGTTTTGTACTACATCTCTCTTGAAGTTTTGCCAGCGTTATGACTGTAAGAGCATTATGGGAAATGTAGTGCAGAACATCTGGAGGGCCGAAGGTTCCCCACCCCTGCTCTAGTGAGTCCTTGCCTGTGTTACAATGCAGTGAACGCCACCCTAGCCTTACTGGAAACACCTTTTATTGTCTACCTAAAAAGGAAGGCTTGTGCAAGAATATATCTTTCTTTGAAATGTTAGTGTAAGAAGTTTTGCTTTGACGTGGCAGGTGAGTTTACAATTTAAAGGTAATTGGAGTGATACTAAAAACCTAGTTATTTAAATGTGCATAGGGATTTGAGCTAGTATGCAAGTAACTTTTTTCTTTGGTTTTTATTGTATATATTGGGGCTATTGTCATTGCTGTCGTTTGAGCGTAGGACTTAATTTTGTATGGCAGAAAAATAATTCATCAACATCAACTGTTATGACTTCATAAGAAGCTTGGAATAATGGTTGTCCTGTTCCAAATGACTTTATAGATAGGCAGGTTAAGATGATATCTATGTAATCATCAATAATTGCAGGACTAGAAACTGGTCCTAACATAAACAAGATGATAGTTTTAGGTAGGTCAGGGGCAGGTAATTCTTGCCACTCCCATGATGATTTGCCAGCATTATGGCTGTAAGAGCCTTATGGGGGATGTAGTCCACAACATCAGGAGTGGAGAAGGTTGCCTAATCCTGAGGTAAGCTGAGCAGTAATTTCATGTGGGAACTTTACTCTGAAAATACTAACTCCTTGTTGCAACAAGGAGCAACAAGTATTTTAAATAAAAATGTTCATTGGTGCACATATATCGAGGTAAGTTATTAAAAAATATATATATATATCTGTCCGACTCCTCAACGAGAAAGTATCCCCCATTCCGCAATAAGGACAATACGGAAGACCTTGAGAGACCTGAGACTGGTAGATAGCTGGCGGACCTTGCATCCCTCCGATAGAGACTACATGCACTACTCGGCCATTCACAGGAGATACTTGTGCATAGACTACCTCCTGATCCAACAAGATGGCCTACAACGGCTGCAGAAGGCGGAGATTCTCCCGTCACCATGGTCGGATCACAGCGCAGTACAAATGCTTCTGGACTCTCCCCTTTATAGGCCCACACGAACGGCACGGAGGCTGAACGAATCGCTTCTATCGGACCCAGACGTGAGAACACAACTGACAGAACATCTGCACAATTATTTCGCCGAAAACAATACAGAAGATTCATCGAAGATGACACTTTGGGAAGCCCATAAAAGTGTACTCTGGGGACATTTCATAAGAATAGCATCACGCAAAAAGAAAGAAGCGCATCAAAACATAAAGGATCTCACTGACAAAATAGCAACACTAGAAACACTTCATAAGCGAACACAATTAGAGGCACAATACCGCACTCTACTAAACACCAGACGACAACTCATGGAACTGGTAGCCAGAAAACACAACAGAGACACCCAGAGATTCAAAGCCTTCTTCTACATACACGCCAACAAAGGAGGGAGACTGCTGGCATGCATGATCAGAAACCAACAAGCTAGGACTCAGGTACATGAACTGCGAACGACCAAGGGCACCCCCACACAACACCCAGAGGCAATAAGTGAACAATTCCACACATACTATCAAAAATTGTACAAAATCGCTCCAGCGAACCCTGTCATACATCGGGATGGCTACGACGCAATATCTACAAGGCTTTAGTCCTATCGCCAGAGGAGGCAAACATGCTAGAAACCCCAATAACTGCAGACGAAATCCAAGCGGCGATCAAATCAGCAAAAAGGGGAAAAGCACCAGGACCAGATGGTCTACCTACAGGGTACTATAAAGAATTCAAAGAGATCCTAACCCCACATCTAATGACGGCCTTAAACCAACTCCAGGAAGGGGACAAATTTCATCAGGAAACTATAACGGCCACTATCACGGTGATACCCAAGCCAGGGAAAAACACCGAAAGCTGTGGTAACTATAGGCCCATATCCCTCCTCAACACTGATGTGAAGCTCTTCTTTAAAATCCTAGCGACGAGACTGCAACGATACATCCCACGGCTGGTCCACCCAGACCAAACAGGCTTCATCCCAGGCCGGGAGGCCAGAGACAGTACCCTACGAGCATTCACCATTCACCATTCAGGGACTGGCTCTTAAGGAGAAAGCGGATCTACTCATGCTCTCCACTGATGCCAAAAAGGCATTCGATAGGGTGACGTGGAGCTTCATGATGGCAACATTGACCAGGGTTGGCCTGGGGAGAGGCATGCTCTCATGGATCAAGGCATTATACACTAACCCAAGTGCCAAAGTGAGGGTAAACGGTGCACTCAATGACAGCTTCCCCATACACAACGGCACCAGGCAAGGTTGTCCGCTTTTGCCACTCCTATTCGCCCTGACACTAGAACCGTTCCTGGACAAGATACAAAGAACACCAGAAATCAGGGGTTATAGACACAGGGACCAGGAACACAAGGTGGCTGCATATGCAGATGACATGCTCTTCTTTGTAGACAACCCTCTACGCTCCCTACCAGCACTACTAGAGGAATTTGCAACATACGGACGAATCTCAGGACTGAAGCTGAATGTCACGAAATGAAATGAAATCCCCTCTACCAGTAAGAGATTGCATCAAGAACGACTTTCCCTTCCATTGGTGCACAGACCAAATGCGTTACTTGGGAATATGGATCCCATCTACACCGGCAGAGCTATACACCAGAAACTACAACCCCCTCACCCCCTCCTACGCGCAAATTCTGGCAGACCTGAAGACATGGAAATACGACCACATCTCGTGGCAAGGATGCATTGCAGTGGTCAAGATGAACATCCTACCGCGACTACTATATTGCTTCAGCGCCATACTATGGCATATATCCTCAGAATTCTTCACTATGCTCAAATAACCGATATATATGCAGCAATAACCCGATATGTCTGGAGAGGGGAGAGGGCTCGACTCAGCTATGAAAAGATATGTCTCCCCAAAGCGTGGGGAGGACTGGCCCTGCCGGACAAAAGCAAGTACTACCAAGCGACGGTGCTCCAACGGATAAGGAACTGACAGATGGCCCCGGCAAACAAACTATGGGCAGACCTGGACAGAGCGAGCACGAACCAGGCCCTCCGCGCGTATATCTGGCAAGATGCAAAAGACGCCACGCAAACTCTAGGCAGCGAATCACCCATCGCACAGACTCTGAAAACATGGACAAGCTTGAGGAGGAACCAACTTATATCGCCTTCACCTAGCCCCTGGTCCCACTAACGTTCAACAAAGCAATTGGAGGGGGATTACCGCCATCCGCATGGCCGATAGACGGGGACACAGACTACATCCCTCTGAGTACGATTCTGAACAACACGGGGCTGCAGAGTCTACAGGACTGGTCAAACGTAGAAAGGCAGACACTTATGCACAGATTCCACTATGCACAACTGAGGCACTTCTGCCACAACATGCCAAACAGAGAAGGAGTGCACAGGGAGACGACATGGTTCGAGCAACTTTGCCTGACGGACTCCAATGAAGTAGGCAGAGTATCAGACATCTACCAGAGACTGATTACAGGAAATCTCACTAGGAAAAATGCATTCAAAAGGCAATGGGAGGAACTAACTGCCAGAACATACACAGAGGACCAATGGGAACAGATTCTTATCCTACAACACAAAAGTTCCATAAGCACCAGCTATCAGGAAGTCAATTTCAAGCTACTATCTCATTGGTACAGTACCCGTGCCTTGCTCCATAGAATATTTCGGGGGATGCCGGATACCTGCTGGAGATGCGAAGCACAGGCAGGTACGCTGCGTCACATTTGGTGGGACTGCACACCGATCCAGGCATACTGGGCAGAAATAAAACAGGAAATAGCGACAATCCTGGGTGACATAACCGAACTCACCATAGAAGCGGCGCTCTTACACTTCACCAGAAGCACAATATCCCAATATAAGAGATCGATATTACGACACCTGCTCAACGCGGCTAAAGCACTAATACCGGCCAGGTGGAAGCGGACGCAACCGCCTACCAAAGCAGAATGGCTACAGAGAGTCGAGGAGATCCACACAGCGGAGGCAAGATACGCAGAACTGAGAGGGAAAAGCGAGAAACACACGGATCTCTGGAGACCATGGTACACTTATATTTCACAAAACAGAACGTGGGAAGACGTAATGTGATCCCTTGAAACCCCTGGGGACCCAGGGGTCCTATGCCCTACCTCCCCCCTTTTTTTTATTCTTCCCCTCATTTCATACACTCATAACCTTGCGGGAGATCTGTGAAACGTGTCATATAACCAGGACACGTAAAAACCACCTACACACAGAATCAAACCGAGCAACCACATAAACACTGATGAAGCAAAAATAGACAAGGGATAAGGAGGTCTACACACCAAGACACAACCCATACGGAGTAGGAGAGAGGACAGAGGCACAGTCAGACTACCACAGGCAAACCATAAATAATTAGACTTGTGTAACACACGCTAGGAAATAGAAAGACACACTCTCACAAATCAAAACAAAATTGGCTGAGTGGATCTGATCTGATTCAACCCTAGAAGGAAGCTTACTTCACACATTGGACAGCAATGTATACCCAACCGTAAATAGTTACAACCTGAGACGCAACGTAAGCTTAGGCACAGCAATCGGAAACACACCAAACATAGGGAAAGGGAATGGGGACAAACTCGACACGAGACACATCCCAGTGACCCAAAAGCAGACAGACCCCAACCAACCGAATAAGCTAGCCGGCTCCACATAACACAAACCCACGCACAACTCCATAGACAAGCCAGGTTACTTCCCTGGGTGGGGACAAAGCATAGACTGCAGGGCAGAGTATGAATACTGAGGGCACCAACCTCAAGCATACACACGCACGACGCAAAGTACTAATGCGTTCCACGCTCACAAGCACCACAAACACTAGAACAAACAATACTAGCATAACGGGGAACGGTCAGTTACATAAATAAATAACAAAACTCATCTCCCAGGAGAAATATCTTCAGAAAAGTTAACTTACAATACTCGGGACCTGCGTGTCCATCAACTTTGTGGGCCTGCGAGCCCTTATGAACGCTTGCATTAACTAAAAACTACTCCTGCACAGGTGATACGAGAGGTATGGGAGAAATTAAGCTTTAATAGAAATGAGAGCCTTGAAGCTGCTCATCACTGACAAGGGCGCACACGCTAAATGCATATGTGGCAATTATAAATGTTACATGAACTTTGTGAATCAGATTAAAGGACCACTATAGTGCCAGGAAAACATACCCGTTTTCCTGGCACTATAGTGCCCTGAGGGTGTCCCCACCCTCAGGGTCCCCCTCCCGCCCGGCTCTGGAAAGGGGAAAGGGTTAAAAACTTACCTTTTTCCAGCGCTGGGCGGAGAGCTCTCCTCCTTCTCTCTCCTCCTGGGCTGAATGCGCACGCGCGGCAAGAGCTGCGCTCACATTCAGCCCGTCGCATAGGAAAGCATTTACAATGCTTTCCTATGGACGCTTGCGTGCTCTCACTGTGAAAATCACAGTGAGAAGCACGCAAGCGCCTCTAGTGGCTGTCAATGAGACAGCCACTAGAGGATTAGGGGGAAGGCTTAACCCATTAATAAACATAGCAGTTTCTCTGAGGTCTTGCAAGCTCGGACAAATACTCAATGTTGCTTAACCTTGTCTCCGCACATGTTGTGCATATTATATGATATATGTTACGCTGATGGGGACCTGCAAGTCCCATAGTCATGGCTCAACCTTGTTACCACAAATAAAAATCGTATTTACAAAAAAAAAAAAAAATATCTGGGGAACTTTTTAAAAGTGGAGTAATCAACAGGAACATTGTCTGGTTTTTCCCAAATAGCATTTTATAGCTCTCGTGTATAATTTAGGAGAGTTTGACAAATTTGAAGTCATACATACAGTTTTGTTCCAGTACATTTTATACGTAGCATACACTAAGACAGGCTTGTCAAAACCTCCACAGTCTATTTTGATACCTCTGGTTGAAAATATACATATATATATATATACATATATATATGTGTGCGTGTATTTAAAAAATAGATATATTTTATCCTCAAATAAAGCAACTATTATAAGTGCATTATTACGAAGTCACCTGTCCACCAACAGACATTAAAAGGTATCAACCCACACAGTCTGTTTGTGACATATTAACTGGCACAGCTAAAACAAACAGCAAAGAGGAAAAAACATATAGGCATCTCAGGACGTTCTAGTGAGGAGGGAGGCCAAAGTGGACAAATCCCCCGATCCAATACTATGTACCGCACATTAACAAAATATTAAAAAGTGCCCAATCCTTGTCCAAAATGGGTAAATGTCTCATTTGTCTAGGGGTCTCCAAGCCCTTGGCCATTTAATTTCCAAAAAATAAAAAGTACTTGACCTTTTCCCCTTCATCAACTTATACTAATATTTAATGTAATGTAATCAGTTGAAAAAAGGACTATAAATATTGTTGTGCTTTTCCTTAAGACAGCACTGTAACCCCCCTGAAAAATGAGTAGACAACACAGGATCATGGAGGTAGATTCACCTTTACCTGCCCCCTTCAGACACCGAATCACCAGCATCAATGTCAAATTCTGCAAAGTCTCCTGACAATGATACTTTAAAGGAACACTATAGTCACCAGAACAACTACAGCTTAATGTTGTTGTTCTGGTGAGTATAATAGTTCAGGCTTTTTTCATTCAGAGAAAAGGCAGTGTTTACATTGCCTCTAGGGACACCTCCAAGTGGCCACTCCTCAGATGGCCACTGGAGGTGCTACCCAGGTCAGTGCTGCCAAAAAAAGCTACTTTACTTTAAAATGTCTATATTTAAAACATTGACAGGAAATTTACAGCAAAAGAAGTAGAGCAGTGCAATTACCTGTTTGGGATCTGATAAGAAGAAAAATATGTTCTGATTTTAATCCTCTTGTCTCTTCAAAAGACAGAATGATAACCTATGTAAAAAAAAAAAACAATAAAAAAAAGTTTACACAGAATCATTCACTGAACTAAATTTAATTTAACATTATTAACCAAAATGTTATAAGTTTCATTTTCTTCATAAGAACACCACTGAGTTGTGGTAAATGGTAAAAATGTAGGTCCATTTTAAATCTCCAGGTTAGCTCACATTGAGACTGATTTTCTAAGTTGGTTGGCAACTCTCTAAAATGCAATAATTTGCGAATGATCATTGTGTGGCACAAATACATATTTTTATAGGATCTCCTTCTCAAATTTAAAGAAGAAGATTTTTAGAATATTGTGCCAAATTATTATCATATTCTAAATGGCTGACAGACCATGTAACCTTACTTAATGTTGCAAAAGATATTGAACACTATAGGTCTGCCATTCCATCCAGTTTCAAGTGTTTTTAACTAGCAGTTTAGTTATTATTGGCATTTAAATAAAATACCTAAATAAAAAAATTATATCTAGACCATAAAAATAAATCGCCCATAAATTGTATGGCTTGGTCAAAGAATAATAAGTAGATCAAATAAATATAGTATACAATGGCATCTATAAATTGTGTTAGCCAAATTACAAGCAAATATAGGGGTGAACAGAGGCTTCATTACCACGTTTCCAGACACTCCCTCAATTAAAAGTGCCTTTCAAGTGCTAAGATTGTAGATTGTTCTAGGAGACTCATAGCTAATGTTAGCACTCAATATATATTTTTAAAGTATATGTTTTTAACATTTCTGACAGGATTAAAGGACTCTATGGGCACCCACACCACTTCATCTCATTGTCAGTGTCCCTTCCTGCAGTGTCCCTTCCTGCAGTTTCACAAAGTTTATCTCTGTGAAACAACGCTGGATGTCCTCACATTTTGCATGAGGACATCCAGCGTTAAAGGGACACTATAGTCACCCAGACCACTTCAGCTCAATGAAGTGGTCTGGGTGTCAGGTCCCTCTAAGGTTAACCCTGCCTGATGTAAACATAGCAGTTTCTGAGAAACTGTTATGTTTACATCTGGGGTTAAGCCAGCCTCTAGTGGCTGTCTTCCGGACAGCCACTAGAGACACATCAGCAATGATTGAGGCATATTATGCCTCAAGGAACATTTATGATCGTATTAGGCAACTGAATTAAAGGTGTTTTTTTTACTTTTCATGGAATGGAGGGTTCACAGACACACTGTAGTGTTAGAAATATTTTTTGGGATTCCTAACACTAATTCCTTTTAGACTAGCTGAGTATTAAAGGAAGCGCACTTTGGAAATGTCTGGGGGGACAGATTTGGCTGCATCTGTATAATAACAATGTGTGTTAGCTATGCATCAGAATTTGTTATGCAGCTTAACACTAACATAATTACCATGTGTGTGAATATGAGATGAGTATATACTTTATTTCTAAGGCCTGTATAAAATGTATACTTTATAGCTTGCAGCAATGAACAATCACTATTGAGCAACTTTTCCAACTAAGATAAAACTCAGTGTACAGCAGACAGCATTGAATTCAGTTACTTTAAAATAATTTATTTTTCTGACCTGGGAAGTAATGTAACAGTTTCACTGAAAATGATAGTTTCGAAGCCAATTGGTTGTCACGTGACTAATTCACCATAAAGGACATGGCCTCATCCAGTCACAGAAACTATATAATTACCAGCACAGGCTCAGTGTAATCCAGGTTCAGTAAACACCGTCACATTACAATGCTTTCTACAATATGCAGTCATGTGTAAGTCAGAGCACAGATAGTGTCCCCTGGTCATGTTACGTCTGGTAGACATGGTGAGTAATCACCAACTAAATAAATTATAATTGGTACATTGTTTCTGCAATCCAGCATCATTATTGCATATGGGATCTGTTATGTAGTTTGAAGGTAATTTGGAGAATTAAAATAAAACAAAACTCAGTCCTTATTGTGCTATTGCCATATATATTTTTTTCTGTTTTTTTTATTATTATTTTTTTTTTGGAGGAGGGGGGGGGATTTGGATTTATCTTATTCTGTCCAACTGTCTTAATTGTTTCTTAATGTTTTTGTTTTATTTAGTTTTTCAATGCCCATCTAAAGGTGTGCCAAT